GTGTGTGTGTGTGTGTGTGTGTGTGTGTGTGTGTGTGTGTGTGTGTGGTGGAGTGCTGTTTCTAACATGGACTCTATTGCCTGCTTTTGAATTGCTTCCTCCTCAGAGGGCTACTTTGCTTAGCCTCAGGAGATGAAGATATGCTCAGTCCTGATGTGACTTGATGTTGTGCTGGGGAGTGTTGATATGGAGAGAGGGGCCTCCCATTTTCTGGGGGAAGGTGGGAAACTGGGAGGAGTTGAGAAAGAGGGGCACCCTTTTTTTACAAATTAAATAAACTGAAAAAAAACAAAGAAAGAATTAATTATCTTAAAAGTAATCTTTTAAAAATCTTAAAAGAATCACAAATATAAACTTTTATATAAAAACAAACAGCCATTTGTACTTTAAATCTTTAAGATTTGCATCTGCCCATTAATAATTTTTATTAAATTGTACCAGGAAGCTGAGGGAAAAAGTGAACATAAGAAAAATTAATCATTGTTTCAGTCACCAGCCGAGCTTGAAAGAGTCACATCAGCCAGTTCTATTCTGGGATATTGTTCTTGCTCTCCAACCTCAAAAAGTCCCTAGCTCAACTATTAAGAGTATAGTTTTTATCAAGCGTTGGTGGCACATGCCTTTAATCCCAGCATTCGGGAGGCATGTGGATCTCTGAATTCAAGGCCAGCCTAGTATACAGCATGAGTTCCAGGACAGCCAAGATTACACAGTGAAACCCTGTCTGTAAAAGCCAAAAATAAAAATAAAATAAATAAAAATAAAAAATGTACTCTTCTTAACTTCAAATTGTTCCCTAAGATTTTTTACATCAGAATCACTAGGAAGAACATCTTTACCAAACCTTGCAAAACCATCTATTTTTCCAAATTCTAAGAGCAGTAGTCATTTCTAGCAATCTGCATCTATAGGTTCTTCTCAAGGGAGGTGGCTGGGTCATTAATCTGCTCTAGCAGCAATGCCTGAAAGAAATAAGGCATGGTTATTGTGAGTGCCAGTGATACTGCCCAGTGAGGCAGTACTGTAAGGAAGCCCCCTTACAGTACTCACACAACTCATATATTATTAGGAAGATTATAAAGGCTGCAAGAATAACAAGCAGAGCTACGCTCTGTAAGAGCAGAGCTACGCTCCATAAGAGCATGAAGTCCTCAGGACACATAGTCTTCAGGGGTGTACCACCCAAAGGCACATATGTCGCTGTTAGGCTGATAGGGGGGCCACATTTTATGAGTTCTAAAGCTGTTTTGCTGTTCCTCCTGCATGACCCTCGACATTTTATGAATCCGAATATGCCTGTGTATGCTGGATATATTTATAATTGTAATATTCTCTTTGTAAACTTCCTTTAATAAGTATCACATGGTCTTCCTTATCTCTTTTTATTAGTTTTGGTTTGAAATATATTTTGTTAGCTATTAGAATAGCTATGCCTGCTTTACTCTTAGTTCTATTTGCTTAGAATATCTTTTGTGTCATTTTACTGTCTGGTGATGTCTATCATTGGTAGTGAAGTATGTTTCTTGGAGGCAGTAATTTCCAGTTCATTCTGCTAGTCTATGTCTTTTTACTGGAGAATTGAATCCATTAATATTAACAGTTATTATTGAAAGATGTGTTTTGATTCCTATCATTGTGTTTGTTTTTGTGTTTTTAGACCTTTTATTCCTTTTCTTTTTGAGATTATAATTACATTATTTTTCCTGCCCCTTTTCTGTCCCAAACACTCCCATTTACACATCTTTCTCTTTCTCACATTCATGGCCTCTTTTTTCATTAATTGGTATTTCATCCATATATGTGTATGTATACATATATATACATATGTTATAAATTCAAAATCTACTAAGTCTATATAAAGTTACTTGCAATTGGTTTCAGGGTTGAGAATTTGGTATTGCATAACCAGGTAGTATGCTCTTTCTGGAGGAAGACTTTCTCCTACTTTTAGCATTCCTTAGCTGGCTACAGATATTGGTGTAGCATTTAAGCTTCCTGGACTTTGGACTTTCCATGCACTTTGGCATATTACTTGTTGATGTTCTTGTTCAACTTACGTTTTGGAGTCACGTTTGTCAGAATTTAGGGTATAGCTTTCTGATATTCCTAGGAGATACAATCTGAAATCAAACACCGTGATCCTCTGGGTCTTATAATCTTTGTGCCCCCCTTTTCAGCAATGTTCCCTGAGCCTCTTTTGTAGATGTTTCTATGGTTACTTGTCCTGTCATTGTTGATTTCTTCCCTTTTATCTCATAAGTATGTTTATATTTCTTTTCCAGTTGAAGTATTCTTTCCAGTATCTTCTATAGAGTTAGATTAATGGTTATACATGTCTGTCTTTATCATGGAATGTTTTTATTTATACTTCAATTTTAATATTCTTAAGAGGTATAATAGTTTGGGTGGACAATTGTGGTTTTTCAGACTTGAAATATATCCTTTTAGCCCCTTCTGGATTTAAAGATTTCTGTAGAGTAGTCAAATGTTATTCTGGTAGCCTGCCTTTTTAACTAACTTGACCTTTTACTTTCTTACCTTTCAACACTCTTTTTTAGTCTGTTTCTAATGTTTTGAATTGTAATATTCTTCTTCTGAATTGTCCCTGTATGATGAGACTTTTTTATTTCTTCTGAAGACTTTTAACTTGAATTGTACATTTGAGATGCCAGAAAATCTATGTCTCCCTGTTTCATAATTCTACTTGCTTAAGAATATCTTTTCCCATCCTTTTAACCTGAGTTGATTTCAAAATTTCATGTTAATGTGTATTTATTGGGGTATCAGAAAGATGTCCAATTGGCTACTCAATAAAATTTCATTTTGGAGTTGAATTCATTAATATTCAGATTTCTTATAGGAACATATGTAGTAATTCCCATTATTTAGTTGATCATTTGCTCTTTTCTTGGGACTCTTTTGATTAAGTGTCCTGGTATTTGTCTCCCACGGATCCCCTTTGAGTGTGATGACCTTTCTCTTCAGTCCAAAGTATTCCCTCCAGTACCATCTTTAGAGCTGGCTTTTATTCCATTTTTTATCTTATATTTATTTTTTCTGAAGATTTTATCTCTTCTTACATTTTAATATTTTTTTCTGAGTGTTGCCATCTGGTTTGACAATTTTGATCTTTCAGAAATTGGAATACTTTTTTTTCAGGCTTTTCTACCCTTGAAATTTACCATCAAATAATCAGCTTTTATCCTGATGGGCCTACATTTATATATGATATAGCTTTTCTTATTGCAACTTTCAATATATTTTTTAAAAAGTATTTTCCCCTTCCCTTTTTAGTTTGTAGTTTTAGTATTTTAACTATAAGTTCTGGAACGTTTCATTACCAGTCCTGTCTATTTGCTGTCCTGTGGGCCTCTTACAAGTCTGGATCTGTGGCTCCAACCATCACATGAATGTGGGTCCAGAGGTGGAAGGTGGGTGCCAAACAGAGCCAGAGTTCTAAGGCAGAGCCAACGTAGCTTACCAGTGTCTTGGGCAAGAATGCACTTGCTTACCAGTGTCTTGGGCAAGAATGCACTTGCACGAAGTACCTAAAGCAGCTGGTCCATTAGGGGCCAGAGATGAAAGTGGAAAGGGTCTTTGACAAAGTGTGAATCAGGAGGGTCTAGGTGCTGGCATCCAAAGGGAGACAAGGATCCAAAGGATGGATTCTGACACCAATCTCTGCAATCCTCTGAGGGATACAATATTGACTTTGAAACCTGTTTTCATAGGTAGAAGCATGTAAAGGTCACTAGGCACAAACTTAAAAAAGAATGACAACATTGTCTAGTAATAAGCATTGTGGGAAAAGAAATTGATAATTTGGGAGAACAAAAGTCTTTAGTCATTCATTACTTAAAGCTGATGTTTTCATATAATGATTTTGAAAATTATTTTAAGTACAGATTTGATAGCTGCTGTCCATCTGGGTGTCTTTGGAACTGCACTGTCACTTTTATGAAATCTATGTAATTGTAGCTAATTGAAAAAAGATTTTCTAATAGTCATATTCCTATTTCTCAGTTTTACAGAGTATTTGGAAGGAAGAGTTGTCGTCAGTGCAGTGCTGTTAGGTGTTTCCATCATACAGTCTGGGCAGAGAGACTACTTTACTCACCAGAAACTACTCACCAGAAACTACTCGCCAGACCACCGGGGAAGAGGAGTGGAGTTGAAGTCTAAAGATTTTATGAGATTTGATCAGCACATTGGGAGTAGGACCATTGTCAGTGCAGCTGCCCTATCTTCCCGTGTCATCCAAGGAGATGTAGGTCACTAAGACATGGCACTACAGTCTTTGCAAGGGTACACATCCTCCACTGCATGACCATATTATTTGGACAGTCTTTTAGCTCGCAATTTTTAATCGTTTACATAATCTTGATTTAACTTTTGTAGGTGAAATCTATCAAGAAAATTGTCCATTTCATTTAGATATTCAAATTTTGTGAGGCTTTCTTTTTGCATTGTGAAAAATCTCTTCAATATCAGCCTTAATAATTCAGTGACCTTTGAGTAATTTTTCTCTTAATGGAGTTTCATGAGTTTTGGACAATGGTAATATTTATAGTTGTAGCCCCCTTCTATATTTATTGCCTAAGGATTATTCTCAAAATAATAATAAATAATTCTTAAAATAACAATAAACTTACCTTTTTCATATGTTTTTAAATCACAGTGTCAAAATTTCTGGTAATTATAAACTGAGTGAACTATGAAGTTCTTTGCAGTAATTTAAAGGGTATATAGACAGACTGGTATACTTGACTTTATTCTAAAATTATTCTAAATTTTTGTTTATCCTAAAATTTTATTCTATAATTAAAATAATTATTTTGTTTTCATTTATGTTAATAAATAGGTTCATTTGTTTCTGTTTTCAATTTCAAGATGTGTCTGATGTGTTTTCTAATTAAATTTTACTTCCTGGATATGAAAGCATATACCAGAGTCCAGTCTCTATAACCTAACACTAATATGTGTTGATCAGCTATATAAAAACTTGTATTAGTTTCTATTTTAACTTCCAGTATATTTTTTTTAATTTTAATTTTTATTTATTCATTTTACATCCCAGTCTTAGCCCCCCTTTTTCTTCTCCCAGTCCCATCCTCTCTCCCTGTTTTCTTTACACCTACCTCTCTGCTCCTCAGAGAGGATCCCTTCAACCACAGCATATCAAGTCATGACTGAATGAGTTCTCCTCCCCTGTGGTCTGGCAAGGCATCCCTGCTAGGGAAAAGTGATCAAAAAGCAGGCAACAGAGTTAATGTCAGAGTCAGTCCTCAATCCCCTTACTAGGAGACTCATATGAGTATCAAGCTGCCCATTGGCTACATCAGTGTAGGAGGCCTAGGTCCAGTTCATGCATAGTCCTTGGTTGGTGCTTCAGTCTCCAACACTCCCCTAGGCCCTGGTTAGTTGGCTCTGTTGGTCTTCTCATGGGGCTCCTGTCTCCTTAGAGTTCTTCTATCCTTCTCCCACTCTTCCACAAGACTGCCTGCATTCCACCCAATGTTTGGTTTGGGTCTCTGCATCTGTTTCCATTTATCCAAAATATACCCTGCCTACAATATGGGCAGGGACAAAAATAAAGCAGAGATTGAGGGAATGTCCAACCAGTGACTGGCCCAACCTGAGACTCAACCCATGGGAGACAGCCAACCCCTGAAATGATTTACAACACTCTGCTATGCTTGCAGATGGATGCCACTCTGTGTGGCTCCACGCAGTATAATCTTTTTTAAATTATCTTCTTCAGAGCGTGTGCATGCTCATGTGTATGTGTCTCTGTGTGTCTGTGTGTCTGTGTGTCTGTGTGAATGTGTGCATCCACATGTGCTGTAGTATGTGTATTGAGATAAGAGAGCAACTTGTGGCAATCAGTTCTCCCCACCCACCATGTGAACCCTCAGGCTCAAACTCAGTTCATCAGGCTTTGCAGGGAGCAAGCACCCTTCCCCACTGAGCCATCTCTCACAGGCCCGCCAGTGTAACAGTTTTAATTAAGCAAACAATCATTGCAGGGATTACTCCTCGTAGTTGCTGCTTTTAGGTATCTACATTTTGATTGATGGTTACCAGGTAACTGGTAAAACATTATTTCTGGGCATATCTGTAATGTGTTTCTGGAGAGACTGTCATTTCAAACAGTGAACTAAGGAAGATCCACCCTCAGCCAGATTGTCTGACTCACTGAAAACCATAATACTGACAAAGCAGCAGAAACCTTTTGAACAGAGAATGCCTTTGTCCACTATTCCACCTGGGTACCTGGCTTCTGAACTCCAGGTTAAATGAAAGCTCAGGCCTTCAAGCTTCTGATAAGAACTACAATGTCAGATCTCTGGGTCTGATGCTTCCAAATGTGAGTCATTCCACACTCCTCACACCAAGGGCCTTTAGCTTACAAATTTCCCTTGGTGAGACTTCTCAGCCTTCAAATCCACAGTCATTTGCCCCTAATAAATCATTTCTCATGTGTATCTGTTTATCATCTCCCTATCTCTCTATCAAATCTATCATTTGTATTTATGTATATATTTATGTACCTCTCTATCTACCTACTTATCATCTACCTAGCTATCTCTCTACCTATCATCTGCCTATCATCTAGATACATCAATAATAAGGCACTATTGACTATCAATCCGGGAAACTCTAAAGCCTTACTAAAATGGTTTCTTCGGTATTTTTATGTTAGTGTGGTTTGCTGATCAATCAATTTGTAACTGTTATTTGCAAAATATATTAAAAACAGTCTTTTTCCAGGGGAAAAAGAGAAATCACTGACCAGTAAGATCTATCCTGGAGAAACAAAATTGTTTGACATATTTTCTTTTTACCATGATACTATCTCACAACCTTAAAAAACAAAACAAAAAAATATTTTAAGGTAGCCTCACACTTTCTAGACAGCCATCGTTGATTGTCTGTTCTCTATCTCTTGAGTCCCAGGTGTGCATCACCATGGCCAGCTGTCTTATGAACTTGTAAGAACTCTAAAGCCTTCAACCATCTACAAACTTTATATCATCATTTGTGCTTCTTAGTTTCATGGTTTTTGTTCATCTTCTCTGATATTATATAACTAAAATTAGTATCTAATTGTTTGAACTACAATTGTCCCCATCATCAAAAACATGCATCTTCATATTCAGAATTCAGTTCTTTGAATTCTCTATTTCAAACATTATTATCATAGATACTACTCAGTTTTCTACTTAGTATAGATCGTCTGTAAATATTTATTCCTCTTACTCTATTGTCTTTCCTCCTATGTGAAAGCACAGAACAATAAATTTTATTATTTTCACAATTCCTTATACCTGTGTTGATATATACATAATAACACGGTCCTCAGCAGCCTGTTACTCTAAAGGAGAGAAGGATAGCACATACACAAAAAAATAGAAATAGACTAACTCATGCACAGTTTCAGAAAATAGGCACAGGTAAAACATTAGCAATTTCCACAAAAAGACTTGATTCTGGCTCAGCTTCTGGCAGGTGAGCTCTAAACCTCTGGAATGCTCTGTTAAGAACAGTTGACATTTTATTTGTCTTAAAGTGAAAGTTTCTGGTCTTTAGAGCTTCAGATCCACCTGAGTAGACAGCCCCAGGCCTATCCCAAAGGAGAACAAAGGCAACACTCTTCTGAGGAAGGTGTCTCTGAGAGCTCACACCTTCTCCAGGTTCTGTCACAGTGGGTAGGAAAAGAGCCTGAATATTACCAAATCTTTCTGGCATACTTTGAAGTATCCGACTTCCATTGAAAGTATCTTCCTTGTTTCTGATTGATTAGAACCTTGTAGTGGAACAGTGGATGGTTTAAGTTTAGTTGATGGTGATCTGCAAGGACCATCAAGCATTAATATAATAATAATAAATTAGATTTATATTTTTATAATGAAAGCTATGGCCTGCCTGTTTTCACTGGCTCCATCACTCATTTCCTGTGTGGTCTTGCATGACTTATCTTACAGCCTCTGGCTTATACCATCTCTAGACAAGGATAGAGAGCAGTAAGTCATTTATAGAGGGTTGTTAAGAGAGGGGTAAAAAAAAAAAAACAACAACAATATGTCCTTCAGATAATGTCAATAAAACTAGTCCTAAGATATAGAATTGCTCTCATATAAAGAACAAATTTCTAGAATGGAATTTAAACATTTCAATGTTCCAAGAACTTGTTTCTGTTCTCAACTGCTTCTGTGCTGTAGTCATAGCACGTGGAAGCTGCTAAAGAAAGCATTTTAATGTAGTATTAGAAGTTCAGCTAAGTCCTTGACTCTGAGACTAGAAAGTATTAAGTCCTTGCACATTTTAATGGGATTCAAATCAGCTAAGTATGAAGAGCAATGAGTTGTTCAATGCCTCAAACCCAACTTCAGAATTCTACTACCAACAGTAACAGAGCACATGTTACTTGATGAATTTTCCCACTGATCTTGGTGAACTTAGAGTAACAAGAAAGCCAATACAATTTCACAGATTATTGTTTAAAAGCATCAGAAGAGACTAAGAAAGACTTAAATAAAAGGCCCAAAGTACCTGAGAAAAGGAATAGCAATGGAGAAGTGTTCTCCCAACCTCTATCCTTTTCCCAGGGCCTTTGTACACTTTCAAGCCAGGGCAGAAGCTGAACACATAACAGTAGGCCATGGCTTGTGGTAGTTTCATTGGGCTGAAGACATTTACAGTGTGATTGAAAGACACAAAAGATACCAATACTTAAATGCTTGTGATTCAAAAATTTGAACAGAAGGCAGGCAACCATTTTATGTTCCCTTCGTCTCTACACCAATTCCCAAACTCTATGTCAGAGGGATAAGAATCTATGACTTTGGCTAGAGAACGGGACATCGGTCTTTGGGACATAACATTTCTGGTGTCGACCAGCCCAGAGCGAATTAGAAAATCGATGATGTTGAGAAAGGCAAGAAGATTTTTGTTCAGAAGTGTGCCCAGTGCCACACTGTGGAAAAGGGAGGCAAGCATAAGACTGGACCCAATCTCCATGTTCTTTTTGGGCAGAAGACAGGTCAGGCCGCTGGATTCTCCTACACAGATGCCAACAAGAACAAAGGTATCGCCTGGGGAGAGGATACCCTGATGGAATATTTGGAGAATCCCAAAAAGTACATCCCTGGAACAAAAATGATCTTCGCTGGAATTAAGAAGAAGGGAGAAAGGGCAGACCTAGTAGCTTATCTTAAAAAGGCTACCAATGAGTAATTCCACTGCCTTATTTATTACAAAACAAATGTCTCATGGCTTTTAATTGTACCATAATTTAATTCGTACATCAAAATTCAGATCATGAATGGCTAACAATATTTTTGTTGGACAGTCCCGATTTAAGTAAAACTGACTTGTAGTAAAACGGATATGACCTTTTTCAAAATAACAATCCAGTTGCAAATAGACTATCACTGCTCTTCCTTTCTCAAGATAAGATTCGACTTAAGTTGTAATGTTCTACTTTCCACAAAGATGGGGTGTCACCTCAAACCTATTAAATGTTTTTGTACTTAGATGTATATAAATGGGCATATGAATGTGTTTAAACACTGGGAAAACTCTATCATTGTCTCAGAAACAAGAAGACTCCCCTGTGTCGCAATTTGTGCTCACTGGTCTGTTCCAGGCAGTAGCTAAACGTCAGTAAGCAACTGTCTTTCTTGATGATGCTGTTCTATTTAGAATTCCCTATGTCAAGGATGCTGCCCTTTTACCACGGAAAGACACTGAGTTTGCGTAAGATATCAAATAAAGAATATTTAATACTTTAAAAAAAAGATTCTATGACTTCAAGCTTCAGCTGGTTTCTAGGAGATTCTAAAGATAAGTAAACACTTCCAAGTTTGTTAAGTCTTGAAAGGTAAAAATGTCAATTCAGAACTTGTCAAAGAGTGGGGAAAGCTATTACCCACGACTTCAGAAAGGCTGTACGTTAAGATTACACATGGAACATTGATTGGCTTTAATTTAATTGAGATAATCTGGTTATATTTAATATGACTATCAAGAGAAAAAGGTCTTCAACTTTAATTTTCTTTATTTTCTGTGGAATAAAGATATTCCATTTAGAATGTCTACAAAATGCTAAGTAATATATTCAGCTTTCAATAAAAATGTTCCATACATGCCAGGAAATAAAAACAAATTATTAAAGACAAGAGAATGGATATATGTCTGTAGTCAGAGGAAAGGTGCTTTGCTTACTGGAGTGGGGTTTGCATATGTGAGCATTTAAATTACCATTATTAACATCTTTCATTAAAGAGATGAGGATAAAATTTATCCTATAAAATTCTATACAATTCTAGTATGTAAAATAAAAATCTTTACATAGGTCAAAGTAAGGATTTAACGCACAACAGGTTAATATAGATGAGTTAGCTAATATGAAACAAAGAAGACCATATTAGAAAGTGAATAGAAATATCCACACTGAAACAAGGAAAAAGAGATAGAAAATAAGGGAAAAAAAGAAACAATGGAGCAAAGAAAGAACATTTAGAATGTAAAATGAGAGAAGAAGAAGGGAGATGTCGAATATTTGAAGAGATTCTTGGAAAATAATTTTCTAAAAATTTTCTAGAGATTGTTCTAGAAACCTGACACAAAGTAAACACAAAGACATACCACAGCAACATACATCATAGACACTGGGCACTAGAGACAAAGGCAAAACCTTCAAAGTAATCATATAGCAATATAGATAAAAGCTTCAGAAAGTGACAGTAAGACTGGCAGCTAACTTCTCATCAGATACAATGAAAAATGAAGGAAAAGTTTTCTTTTCTCAAGTGATGAAATAGCTGACCAGCTAGACAATCTTTATGTGCTGAAAATGTGCTCCAAAAATAAAGGGAAAATAAAGTTTTCTTGAGGCAATCACTGAGAGAATTCATCATGGGAAAAATAACCCTGAGCACAACTGCTCACAAGGGCGCCACAGAAAATGTGGCTCCCAGTGATGGTGCAAAAAGCACGAAAAGAATGAACAGAGGCTGTGTAGATTGGCTGCTTTAGCATTGATATTTTCTGGCATATTTAAATTTTTTCTAGAATTAAAATATTTTACCAGTATATACAAAGAACTAAAGAAGCTGAAAAGCAGCAAACCAAATAATCCAATTAAAAAATGGGGAACAGAGCTAAACAGAGAATTCTCGACAGAGGAATATCGAATGGCAGAGAAACACTTAAAGAAATGCTCACCCTCATTAGCCATCAGGGAAATGCAAATCAAAACAACCCTAAGATTTCACCTTACACCCACCAGAATGGCCAAGATCAAAAACTCAATTGACAACACATGCTGGAGAGGTTGTGGAGAAAGGGGAACCCTCCTCCACTGCTGGTGGGAATGTAAACTGGTACAACCACTTTGGAAGTCAATCTGGAGCTTTCTCAGACAACTAGGAATAGTGCTTCCTCAAGACCCAGCTATACCACTGCTAGGTATATACCCAAAATTTGCTCAAGTACACAACAGGGATATTTGCTCAACCATGTTTATAGCAGCTTTATTTGTAATAGCTAGAACCTGGAAACAACCCAGATGTCCATCAACGGAGGAGTGGATACAGAAATTGTGGTATTTTTACACAATGGAATACTACTCAGCAATCAAAAAGGAGGAAATCATGAAATTTGCAGGCAAATGGTGGGATCTAGAAAAGATCATTCTGAGTGAAATATCCCAGAAGGAGAAAGACAAACGCGGTATGTACTCGCTTATATAGAGCTATAAGGTATGATAAACATAATGAAATCTATATTTAGAAAGACAGATGGGATGTGCATTGAACATACGACAGGAGTCTACCACAGAAGGTATCTGAAATACTCTACCTAGCATTGTTTCAAAGTAGACACTAAGACTCATAACCAAACCTTCGGCAGACTACAGGGAATCATATGAAAGAAGGGGAGTTAGTATGATTGGGAAAGGATAGGAGCTCCACAAGGACCAAATGTATCTGGACACAGGGTCTTTTCTGAGACTAACCTTTAACCAAGGACCATGTATGGATATAACCTAGGACCTCTGCTCAGATGTAGCCTGTGGTAGCTCAGTAACCAATTGGTTTTTCCATAGTTAGGGGAACAAGGACTATTTCTAACAGGAACTCAGTGGCTGGCTCTTTGACTTCCCCACCCCCCAAGGGAGGAGCAGTCCTGTTAGGCCACAGAGGAGGACTTTGCAGACCTGATAAAACAGGGTCAGATGAATGGGGAGGAGGTCCCCCCCATCAGTGGACTTGGAAAGGGGCAGGGTGGAGATGAGGGAGGGAGGGTGGGATTGGGAGGGAATGAGGGAGCGGGATACAGAGTTAATAAAATGTAACTAATAAGAAAAAAATAAAAACTAAAAAAAATATTTTACCGAAATGATAAGAAAGGAAAGGTGTCTAAGTAAAATAAAAGTGTTTCAAGCTGGTAACAACCCAGATGCCCCTCAACTGAAGAATGGATGCAGAAGTTGTGTTACATCTATACAATGGAATATTACTCAGCAATGAAAAATAAGGAAATCATGAAATTTGCAAATAAATGGTGGGACCTGGAAAGGATCATCCTGAGTGAGTTGTCCCAGAAGCAAAAAGACACACAGGGTATATACTCACTCATATAGACATACAACATAGGACAAACACACTAAAATCTGTGCATCTAAAGAAACTAAGCAAGAAAGAGGACCCTGACTAAAACGCTCAATCCCCATCCTGAAAGGCAAAGAGGATGGACATCAGAAGAAGAAGAAAACAGGAAACAACCTAGGAACCTGCTACAGAGGGCCTCTGAAAGCCAGAAAAAGAAAATAGAAAACAAACTAGGAACCTACCACAGAGGGCCTCTGAAAGCCTCTGCCCTGCAGACTATCAAAGCAGATGCTGAGCCTGATGGCCAACTGTCGGGCAGAGTGAATGGAATTTTATGTAAGAAGTGGGAAATAGTAAGAGCTGGAGAGGACAGGAACTCCACAAGGAGAGCAACAGAACCAGAAAATTTGAACACAGGGAACTTCCCAGAGACTCATACTCCAACCAAGGACTATTCATGGAGATAACCTAGAACCCCTTCACAGATGTAGCCCATGGCAGGTCAGTGTCCAAGTGGGTTACCTAGTAATGGGAAGAGGGACTGCCTCTGACATAATCTGATTGGCCTGCTCTTTGATAACCTCCCCCTGAGGGGGGAGCAGCCTTACCAGGCCACAGAAGAGGACAATGCAGTCACTTTTGATGAGAACTGATAGACTAAGATCAGAAAGGAGAGGAGAACCTCCCCTATCAGTGGACTTGGGGAGTGGCATGCATGCAGAAAGGGGAGGGAGGGTGGGATCAGGAGGGGAGGAGGGAGGAGCTTATGGGGGATACAAAATGAATAAAGTGTAATTAATAAAAAATTTTTAAAAAGTTTAAAAAAAAGTGTTTCAAAGGCCTTGTATCGTACAGTGGTTATCAGAGATCAATTTGAGGTTCAATATAAATTGCATAAAAATTACATAAAATTTTTAAAATAAACTAATTTCAATAATGTGTTTTTCCTTAATTTTACCTAAAAGCTTGTTTTAACATGTAATGAATATAAAAGTTAACAATGAATATATGGAATTATTTTTTTAGTCCTAAAACTTTGAAGCAACCAGACAGGCTTGCTATCGGAGTTCATGAAACAACTCCATCATTGATAAAAGATATGAGTATATTAATTGAAGCCTGAGATTTTCAGTTTCAAAAGAACATCATTATATTATATGTTATTTATCAGAAATCGGCCTAAGTCAGTTGTGATTTGAAGGGGTAAGATGAAATAAACCCTTTAAGTTGCTTTTAGTCACAGTGTTCATTACAGTAGTAGAAAGAAAACTAGGATAGTCCTCATCATTCCTGTCAGGAAAGTTATTCAAGTCCGAATGTGATAGCATTACCTAGCCACTATAAAGGCTGACATTTATTTAAAACAACAGTATCATGTGGAGAAACTATAAAATAAACACTCGTGTGCTGCCCCGAAGACCACGTGTTTGCACGTTTTCCATGCTGAACTGAGTAACTCTGTGTCGACATTATAGTCACACCTTGTAACATCACTGCTCTACCCTCAGTAAGTGTATCCATGAATTATTCAAAACGTTCTAGAAACTAATAGTGGAAGCACAATCTACAACGAATGGTACATTTTTAGAAGCCCCCCAGAAGCAGTTGAACAAAAGGATAAATTTGGTGTGTGTTCACCACAGATTGCCGTAGGGTGACAGCAACAAAACACCATTGCTTTGTGTTGTGCAGCAAACAGGAGCAGTAACACAGTCATGGTA